TAATATGCCAGGACGTCCTATAGTTGGTGTATATAATAATTTGTGATTCAAATTTAAATGGTAATCATATTAAATATATATTTTGTGTTATTTTATTATACTATTATTATCTCTAAAATTATGTTAACTTATCATTGCATAAGTAGACTATAATTTTACTCAAAAGTATTTGATTGTTTTATCGATACCCCATTAAGAAAAATACGATCTCATTGCAGGAGGGTTAAATTTGGCAACCTTTTATCACTTTACAAATGCCATTAAAAACTTATTGATACATAAAATAATCATAAACTCATCATATGTATTCTAAGGAAAATTATCCTTATCCATTTACCCACTATTATCTAACATGCATGACCACTTTATCTTTTAGCATAGAGGAGTTAATATCAATTATCATATTTATTTTGAAATAAATTAATAATAAATATTTTTAAATTGAGGATTGTCTTTCTCTTTTCAGATTGAAATATATTAAAATGAATCATACAATAACAAGTCTTTAAAAGGCAAATACTTTAATATTTATTTAAAAAAAATAAATATGTATATTGATAAAAAGGAAGAACAGTTTTGACAAAGAAAAAAAAAAAGTAAAAACTACATATAAGAATACGAGTGGCTAATAGAAAATCTTATATAACCGGTAAGGAATGAGCGACATTTGGATGTGTGTGGTTGAGTGTTAGTGGTCCGATGATTTTGATCTAGTGACTATGGTCGGCCAATGACAGCCTACCAGCTATGATGTGGCTGAGTGTTAATGTTTCAAATATATCTAAAATCCCAAACACTCTAACATAAGGCATGTATTGATTTTCTTGATAAAGTATCATTTTTTAGAATTTACATTGCCATAATGAAGTTAGGATTAAGGAAAATTAATGGTTTCGTTTCACTCGTTTTATCGAAACGGTAAAATTGATTATAAACATATTAATGTTGGAGATCATTTATTTCTCTATCTAAAAAATTCTAACTATATTTCATGTGTTTGATTTTGACTTATTTGGATTTGGGTTGGATCACTTTTGTTGTTCTTGATTTATCTCACTCTTTAAGCTGATCAATTTGACTGCAAACTTGTTAAAATTGAAATTTAAAAAATCTAGAATAAAATATTGAAAACTTTTCTTTAATTTGCATAAGTTAATATCTAACTTCAGAAAAGTGTATAAAATCATCTTGATATTTATACAAATCCTACTATAATATGTTGAAGAAAACATATTCTTGCTGATTAATGATAGCAAATCCTCTATAGATCCCAAACATGCAAGCTTTCAAATGAACATTTAAAAAAAAATTATGATCAAATAATAAAAGTAACACTGAAAAGATGTTCAAATGCGCTTAGAATAAGCTAAGACATTCTTTCTAATAATTTATTATAATGCAAAGTTGAAAATTTAAATACATTAAGAAAATTAATGGGCTCTTCCCCTTTAAAATTAAAAAATCATCGTTGTGGTCCACTGCGGGAAAAATTAGCAGGTGCGGAGTCTGGCTGTGTTCGAACTTTAATGTATACAAATTATACGACTTGCATGTATCCTATATACAAGTTATATAGGAGATATGTACCAGTCAAATGACCTACAAACGTTGAGGTCCGCACGTCAGTGATCGCAAAGACTCAGAGAAGACAGCACTTGCTTTAGCTTATACAAGAAATTATTTCGTGCAGAGTTTCGATGGAAAGAACCATCTAGATATATGAGTGTATATATTATGACTGGTCTCTTCACAATTTTGTTCTTATACCACATTTTTGGCTTTTTACTGATTTTTGTGGAGTATGGGTGGTATAGTTGTCCTTTTTTTACTGTTTTGCCTTCATAAGCTTTGTTATTTTGCTTATGTTGGTTCTTTCTTGTATTATCTTCTTTTTTTACAGTAATATATGGGCTATGGCCCCAAATTTCCCCAAAAAAAAAAAAAATATATTCTTCACATTGGGACTCGACACATAATAATTTCTCTCCTCACACACTCTATAAATGAAAATTTCTCTCTTTCTATATATATATATATATTGCTTCGCAGGTTTCTTTCATCGGATTCCTAACTCAGAGATGTCGACCCGACGACTCCTACTTCCACTCTACCTCCTGACACTCTCCGGAGCCCTAGTTTCGTCGGAGCTTGTGCTGGAGTCAGGCTACTCTATCTCCACAGTCCTCGACTTCAACAAACCCCTCCCCTCCGGCGGCATCAATGGCCATGGCGTCCACCCCTTCGCCCTCCATCCCCTCAACCGCTCGCCTAATCTCCTCCTCCTCCTCGACTCTACTAACTCTTCATTCTACTCCCTAGAACTTCCCGTATCCCAAGGTTGGTCATTGGTTCTTATTTATGTTCTTGTTGTTGTTTTGCTTTAGATCGTTAGGGCTAGGGTAGGGTTCTCCTTTTTTTTTTTTCTTGTTCATTCAATGTTAGGTGCAGAGAGCGGGCTTAGGTTGCTATCCGGGAAGCGAACTGCTGGATTCGCTGATGGTGATGCAATTTCTGCCATGTTTAATCGGCCTCGGAGCTTCACCGTTGATAATAATGATAATGTCTATGTGGCGGACCGGATCAATCATGTTATCCGGAAGATTAACGGCTTTTCTGGTAAGAGTTTATTGTATTGGCTGGAAATTGGATAAAGTATTTTGCTCCTTTTCTGTCTTTACTTTCCTTTATTTCCTTGCCTTTTGGATTATTTTTTCCTTTTTTGTTTATTTTCTGGAGAAAGTACATATCCTAGGTCGACCCGGAAGGTTTTGAGGCGGAATAGTATCTTAATTGTGAGATAGACTATATAACTACCAGAGATAGTTAGAAATGAACAAATTCAGTTAGGTAACTTTGGAGAGGTATATCAATGTGCTGAATTATCTGAAGAAAGCTTTGTGGGATGTTCAGAGAGAAATGAGTGTACAAATATATCAGGCTAAGAAGTCTGGTCTTACAAAAACGATTTGTTCTCACTCTGGTCCCTTCAAGAAAGTAGTAATTATGTCGATTATATTCCCTTGTCCCCAACCCTGCTCTCAGCTATTAGCTTAAGTTGATAGGATTTAGGCAATAGAGTTGGTGATGTGATACCTCAATTAATCCATGGAGGTTTTTGCAATTAATGACCTGATCAGAAATTCACTATATCATTTATTACACCAGTCTTTTTTTGTTCAGCTGTGTAACTGATAGCTACCATGTTGGATATCCGGAATGGAGCCGATATTCCTTGAATCGTACATCACTAACTTTCGATACTTTTCACCTCAAACAGCCTATACACTCTTTTACATATAACTATAACTATATAGCCCAAGGGTGGAATTTAAGGTTTTAGCTTGAGGTGAAGATGAAAGTAGAGTGAGGGAGAGAGGGGTAGAGAAGGAACAAGAGCTACATAATCTTTGTTATTTTGATGTGAGAGAACATATTAGGATATGCTCTTATGCCTTTTTTTGCTCTTTTTTTACCCTGAACATTAAATAAAGCTTTGTCAAGTCAATTTAACATGCAATATTTGCTCCTCTCAAGTGATCTAATTTGATTCAGCTATTTAGATTAGTTATGTGGCCTCTCTTGCAACTATGGTGCTCTACAAACCCCCACATGAGAACCTAATCTAATGAATTACATATTGGATGGGATAATTAGTCTGCTAAGTAGTCATGAACTTGATGAACTGAGTTTATTTTTAGTTGATAAAGTTGTAACTTAAACTTGTAATATCAGTATTTTTGAAACGTGTAATGTGAAGCAAAACTTCTTAATCTGATTTTATTTTTAATTTACCTCTTTCACTTAGGTGTGTTGAGCTGCAGAATATTTAGTTGATGTTTTTTTTTGTGATATGCAACTGGTTTGTTGATTTTGATGTGGACCATGTTTTGTTGGGTTTTCTACACTACTTAAGACCTTGCTTATATATGAGCAGATGGCATATAGGATATACTATAAATGTTTGTCAACTTATGCACTCCAAAAAGATCTTTTATTAGAAGTTCTAGTTGCTTTAAATTAAAATTTATTCAAAGCAGAAAATATACTGATGATGAGATAAGTTTGGATGTTTGAAATTCATTTACTTTTTATTAGAACCTTAAAAAAAGAAAGTGCTGTAAATACTGTAGCACTTGTTTTGCTAATATGAAACCCAGTGGATGTTTGATTTTTTTTTTTCTTGTCACGCTGTTCTTCTGATATCCTCTGACCATCAGTTGTAGTTTTCCATTGGGTATTTTTGAAAAAGAAGGTATCCATTTTTTAACATTTAGTTGCAAACATAAAAGAAAGAAGGTTTCCATTGGTCTTTTGGTTGTTAGACTGATGCACTTGACATACTTGGAGTGACCCCTTTCTAAATGTATCAAACTCTAAAGAAGTGAATGCTCTGAGTGAAACACTTGATTGTTAACAAAGTAAATTATAAGCATCATAAACTTGATCCAAAAGGTCTTTCAAAAGCCAATCTAATATCAAGGTTTTGATTTATTAAATCTTCGTATTTACTCCAAGTAATATTATGAGCGTTGTTGACTTTACCAGTATGAACTTGAAATATATCGTTATTTTTCGAATTCTTAAATCTTTTTGTGTCAAAACTATCTGATTAGGACATCCGACTGTGGAAAGTTTGTCAGAGAAGGAATCGGAGATCGACGGACACGATTAGACCACTTTATTTTTGAGTTATTATTTATATTTGATTTATTTATGCATATTTTTTCGTTTTTACCCTCACTTGAGGGAGTAGGTTTATGTGACCCTAGGGGGCACTTTTGTCATTTGATTTGCTATTGTATTTTGGCTATTTATATCCCCCTCATCTTCTTTTTGGGGATGATGAATATTATGAAGAAAAATTCTTGCACTTGTCTCTTGGTGAGTTCCAAGAGTTTTTGTGAGAACTCTTGGAGAGTTTGAAGTCCCTAGGTAAGGGAAAAGTACTACCCACTAGCTACAGGAAGTGCCTAGCTCGTGGTTCGTCTCTACCGCCAATTCTTCCCCTTTTCCTCTCTTTCCCTTGCTCGGCCGACCCATCCTCTCAAATCCCTCCACCAAGCCGCTAACCCAACACTCCTTTCCTTTTTCCCTCCTTGGCCAAAACCCCCACTCCTCTCCTTTTTTCTTTCTTGGCCGAGAAAACCCACCTATCCAAACCGTCGGCTCCACCTCCCCACTTAGCTGCCGGCTATCATCCTTCCACTTGGCTCCAATTTCCAAAGCCTAGTACTCAATACTTTCTTAATTTAACTCATTGTAAATTTGGCAAGTCAAATTTCAGATTTAAATCAAATTTGAATTTGAAACTCCTTTCCTAAAATAAGATGAGTTGTAATATGAAAGCCATCAATCATGCCAATTTGAATTCAAATAGATCCTTGCCATAATTTCTCTTTCCCTAATTAGTATTCTCGAATTAGCAAGTCTTTAATACCCAAATTCAATATTTCCCACTCATGCAAGCCGCCGGCCCCACCCTCTTCCCCTTCCCTCTTTTGAAACTTTGCTTAACTCCTATTTACTTTACTAATAATATGTGTTTGGTAAGCTCCTAAATTTCCCAAATCACTTACCCCAACTCAAGCTAGCCGCCTGCCCCACTCTCTCCTTTCTAATTATTTCTCTAAATTACTCACATTTTTAACCTGAGGATAAATTCCTCACCCCATGGTTGCTCCTAATGCTGCTACTCCAGGATTTTGACCCCTCAAGACTACTGTCCAGATTTCCTGAACATTCTGATTTGCTGTACAGAGATTCCAGTGAGAGTTAGCTGCTGTCTCGCTATCTAGATTCTTCTAGTGTGCTGTCCAGAACTTTCCAGCACGAGTTAACTTGCCGTCCAGATGTCCAGAACTTGTTCGTTTGTTGCCTACACTTCCGAAAGGTGCTAGATTACTGTCTGGACTTGAGAGAAGAAGTCATATTGCCGCTCTTCTTTCAGAAACAACCAACACTACCGCCGTTGCTTCATATCTTCTACTTTGTGGGTAAACTCTCTCACTTCCTCGCTCCTTCTAATACTCCTTCAATCATGACATCGTTTAACCATGAAGATCTATCCGCATAGCTCCAAATTAAGAGTGTAAGTGACTGGATCCTTATAGTGACTATTCTAATTATTAAATTGGGGATTCTCTTTTGAAAGCCTCACATTAGCATGGTCTAAATTGATGTGACTATTTTATGATCCTAATATTTTCTTATGTAATTGATTGCCTAAGATTAATCACTATCTTGTTGGCTTAAAACTTTGTTAAGAAACGTGAGAAGATTAATTAATTGCAAAGCTCTACTCATGATCAATTGCATTTGCCTTTGCACGTAGTCCTACATCACTATCACCATTAGTTTGCTCTCCAATCTCAGGTCTATAGAGATAACAATACAAACATCTTTTGTAACACTATACTCTAACCAACATTTGTGTTCATCAAACCATACGAGATTAAATTTTTGTGATTCACTATTTCACTTCTATATAGAGTTTGTGGAAAATCATGATCTCGAGGTTGATATTGTCCTTTTTGCAAATAATATTATCTCATTGTATCCCTCTAATTGGTATGATGATAATTTTTTTTTATTTAATTCGGGATGTGTAGGGATTTTATCAAAATTGAGTTTTAAATTAGCTTGTTTGAATTGTGCATTATTATCACAGCTTATATTTTCACGTATATTTGCTTCACTTTTTCTTTTAAAATATATTTTCATATCTGATATAAATAAAAACTATTTAATAAAATTAATACTAAAATATTTGATTTCATCATATCCAAATGTGATGGTTAAAAAATATAAACTTACTTAAACTAAAGATTGCAATTCTCACAGATAGTAGATTTTCCTAGGGTTTGATCATCTTGAATTTGGCTGAAATTTGAGATTTCTTAGATTTAGGTTTTCTTTGGGCTCTAGCGGCGTCTAGAGATTTGGGAGAGATCGATCCTCCTCTCGAATTGAGGATCAATTGTATATTGCTATTTTATTCATCGACTAGTGGAATACAAGCTTTTTTTTGCGTTTTCTCTCAGATTTTCTTGTGTTTTTACTGTTTTTCTGCTGTGGACAGCAGATTTACTGCTGTTTGCTCTTCGTTTGGTGTTAGGATTGCTTGAGAACTCAAGTTTACCCTTAGGGTTACTTGTGAACTCAAGTATTTCCTATCAGTATAACTTAAGCTTCCAACAATATTTCTACATTATAAAAGTAAAAAATTTAGAGAGCTTTAACCTGCAGATTTTAATTAAAAAAATAGCATCAATAAGTTTTTTTATTCAATAATAATAAGTTTGCTTTCTAACACAAATACAACAAAGAGCACTTACAAAGAGTCAGAGTCTTCTCCTATGTTTCTTGATCTGCTGGCTGCTGCACTCTCTCTCTCTCTCCACTAAAAAGTACTATACCTTCATCCATTTATTTTACTTATCTAATTGTTCATGTAGACAATTTTTCATAGTTAATTTGATTAAAATTTCTCTTTTGCATGCAACGAGAATAATGACTGGTTCTACAGTAATGCTTGTTTATTTTTAATTTAGTGTAAGAATTTTAGGGAAGGTACAAAAGAAAAAAAAGAAGAAAAAGAAGAAAAAGAAGATATTCTACGCCATACTAACTGCTTCGAAGATTCTAGTTTCTCTTGTTCATTTCCATGAAATGAGTGGACGGCTACATGAATTTCCTTTTATATTCTCTGATTTTGCTGGCTAGAAGAAAAATCTGATTACTAATTATCATTTTTATGCCAATCTCCTTAATGCTTTTTTTTTATTTTCTGATTTTAGGTTTGACCACCACAATTGCTGGTGGCTATTCGAAGAAAGCAGGTCATACGGACGGGCCTGCTCAAAATGCAACTTTTTCAGAAAATTTTGACATACTTTTCATGCCTAAGATGTGCTCCTTATTAATTTCTGATCGTGGAAGCAGAATGATTCGCCAGATGAATTTAAAACCAGAGGACTGTGTAGAAAAACCACTATCAAGTCAAGGTGCTATATTTTCCATCATTTTAGTGGCACTTCTCAAGAAATTTCCTTCTTTTCTTGCAAACTACTATTGAAATTAAAATACCATTTAAGACATCCTTTTTTTGTACTTCGTTTAGTTTGTTCCTCTATTGTGTTATTTATTGGCCTTTCCAGTTTTGGATCTGTATGTTGGCGTTTACACCAAAGGCCCTAGTTGTTAGATTTTTGAGCTTTTCTCACAACCCAATATTTGTTATAGTGAATACTGTACCTATTGTTCAATGGAAGTTCTAGAATATCGATTTCACAGAATTGACAGAATTTTAAGAAAGAGCAAAAATAGATTTACACAAGTGGAGAAAAAAAAAAAAGGTTATCATAAGAGTTAAGACAGAAATACACTTTGAAGTGTTAAAAATTTAAATATAACGGAGATTTATAATAATTATAAGAAAGTTAGGAGTTTAATGGAAGTTAGCTAAGTCAAAGCCACAACTTTGAATTATTTATATAGAAGGCTTTAAGCAAGGGAAAAAATAGATGCAAAGTAGTCTGTTAGACCGGTTCACTTGGAACCGGTCCAGAACCAGCCGGCCCAAGGGCCGCTGGTTTATATGAGGCGGAAGTATTCCGCCTCGTCTACCTGTTCCGCTCAAAAGGAGCGGGCCCCATTAATGTAATGAAGGGGAAATTCAAATGGAGTGGAGAGAAGAGGTTTTGGGAGGGAAATTGTATTAGGAAGGTTGGGGTATTAAAGTATACGAGGGAATTAGGGATTCTTCATGTTTTGGTTGATTGAAATTAGGGTTTCTTGGAGGCTTGGGCTCTAGACCACCTTGTCTAGAGATTTGGGAGAGACAATCCTCCTCTCGAATTGAGGATCTCTTGTATCTTGCTAATTTATTCATCATCTAGTGGAATCCAAGTTTCTTCTTGAGTTTTCTCTCAGTTTTCTCGCAATTTCTCGCTGTGTTTGGCTGCTGTCCTCTGCTGAAAACAGCAGTTTTCTTCTCGTTTTACTTCAGATTTGGGTAGGAATTACTTGAAATCAAGTATTTCCTATCATAGTCCAGATTTGAAAAAAGGAGTTTAGTTTGATTAAATTATTTTTTTTATAAAAAGTGAAGTTGATATGATCTTAGTTAGCAAATGGAAGTTGTAAGGAAGAAATCTTTTTATGGAAAGCAAAATAAGCGGAATCATAAAGTTTATTGTAGATTTACTATTAAAAAAAGCACACTAGAATTGCCTTTAAAAAAATGCATAAATTATGCTATAGGTCTTGATAAGATACTTATGTGAGCTAGGAGATATTTGAAAATATTTTGGTTAAATTTCTTCTTAATGAAATCTTAAAGATGCATCTATTTATAGCAAGGTTTAAAATTGCGTAATTGAGTATTGAGATAATTTTTCTTCGTGAGGCAAGGCGTTTTGAGGCGTAAGCCTCAAAATAAAAAATTGCGTTAAGTCACTACAAATGTTAAAAATGATTTTTTATACTTCTAAATTTTAGAGGAGGTGGTGGTGATGTGGGGTTTCAAGTGATCCCCGATAGCTACGACTGTGGTGACTATGAAGAAAACGAAGGACTGGAGGTCAAGACAGTCGAGAGGAAGTTGTTGTAGCTTGTGGGTGCATTAAAGCATAATTTGTTTGGAGCTTTAGTTTAAGATTTAGGTAAGTTTAAATAAAAATATATATAAATAGGATGAGGTGTCAGCCTCACATTGGCGAGGCGTGGTGGGCCTCAGCCAAGTTGAGGCACAAGCCTCATAAAAAAAGTTTGAGGCATAAGCCTCGATGCGTTTTTCACTAGAATTGTGCTAAGGAGAGCCTCATATCGCACAATTTTAAACAATTTATAGCTTTGGATAAGATACAGATTTTATAGAGATATGAAAGCTGAAGATTGGCTAATTTTTTTTCTTGACCAAGTCTTAAAAGCAAATAGCATGTCATCCTTAAAGAAGCATTTTTGCTTCAGTTTTTAAGAACAGTGTATATATTCTTGATTATAGCACCATTTTTTAAGAACGGTGTGTATATTCTTGATTTTGGTATATGCGGTAACTAAACTAAAATCACACAATGAAGGGAGAGAGAGGCTATTAGAGTATTGACTTTGAAAAATCTAGTTAGTATCAAAAAATGATTTTGATTTTATACTAAGAATGCTTATTATGGAGCAATTGCTAGCGAAAGAATCTACAGCCAATATGGATCTTGGAAAGGCAAATACTTGAGTGCCACTAGCTTGATTTTATGCTTAAATATATGTATGTTAGAGCAATAATCATTATTAACGGTTGTTGCGGAGTTGCTAAAAACTTTTGAGTTATATTGGAATCGCGCCAATGATCAAATTGTTATGCATCTTTTTGCATTCATTTTGAAAATACCTTAAAAGAAATATTTTAAGGCATATATCTTAGTTTGTGCTATTTTATATATGACTTGGCGATGATGAATGATAAATGAGATTAGTAAAAAGTTTGAATAATTGAGGAATTTTTTAGAGCACAAGAGCTTAAAAGTGGTGGAACATATATAATATATAGTTTTAGTGCATATGAAATTGATAATTATTAGCAATACATTTGTGTGATGAATTTAAAATGTTTTAATTTATTGTAGAAAAGAAAGAGCATTCTGATGGGGGTTTAATTTCTAGAGTGAACTTGGCTGATTCAAATGAAGAAGCACCTTAAGATTAATATGGTGTGGAAATCTTGAACTCATTCATTGCTATGCCCATCTCTCCAATAAATATGAAACAATTTTGGATTCCTGCATGTTGGCGAGCGACCGCCTTCTGTTGTTGTGGAAGGAGTTGAGGCAATAATGAGAAATCATGAGCCACCTCCAAAAATTTTTAGGAGGCTAGTAACAATTCATTAAATCTTGAAAAGCTCATCCTAACAATCCATCTGCATTCCCTATTGTTAATTGGTGGTCATAACAGCAGGTCTCTATTGCCAATCTACAATCCGTAATTGTTGGACTATTAAGTCCATACAAGGAAGATCTTGCCACATGCTCACATCATGTTTCCAAATAGTTTGATTAAGATTTTCATTCAAAATTTACTCACAAGCTAGTAGAGAAATCTGATGGGTTAAGCCAAATTTCATATATTTGATAATATCATTTTATGTAACATTAGTATCCGAAATAAATTTATGTTTTTTTGTTTTTTGTTTTAATAAGACTCCATTTTGCCTGCTTCAGACCATCAGTCAAGTGCATTTTTTATTATTCTAAACTTCAGCAATCTTTCGATGCTATAAACTTTTCCGAGAACTAAATCGCCCAATGCACGTGAAGTCTTGTGTTGGTAGATTTATGTTGAAGAATTGATGAGCCCTTAATTGCAGGACTTGGAGCCATCTCTGTATCCGCAATAGCAGTATTGGCTTTGCTGTGTGGTTTAACACTTGGATTCATGGCTCGTCCATTTCTGATTTCAAGTTCCAGTGTAAGTGCCTTTTCTCCTTTTGGTAATCGCGCATCACTAAGGTTTCTTATATTATTTACCTAAATCTGTAGACAGGAAGCCTCCATGAGCCACTGCATCCCCCGCTTATGGAATCATATCCAAATATCTCGGAGGAAACCAGCACTGATGTTCTGCTCCGGCATCAGAAGCGTAGTTGCTAGCTCCAAAACCCTTCATCTTCTGTCGTTTAGATTAATTAACTTCAGCCTTGGTTATATGCGTGTGGTGTTTAGAAATATCAGGTTAGAAAGGCTAGTTCATGGTAAGGAACCTGTTTTATTGCTGGATGCAGATTTTGTAACTGATGAAATGAAGGATTTGATATCTTTTGAAGAGGAAAATAGTGTATTAGATTTGAGTTCTTCAGCTAATCAAGTTGAAACGGAAGAAGCTTCTGGAAGGAACCTTCATGAGGCAGAAGATGAAAGCAATCTTAATGAAAAGATAGATAATATGCTGGTAACCAATTTACAGGATTTCACCGCCAGTAGTAAGGAACAATCTCTTGTGAATAGGAGGCGAAATGGTGTTCATGACCTCTAAAACTTAGCACCAGTTGGCTCTTGCTGTAGTGAACTGAATCAAAATTTCATAGTTTGGAATTTAAGTTGTATTGGCTAATATATGGCTAAATTTCTGAAGGTTTGCTGCATTGACGATTTGTATTATATATTACTAAGATCTCTAGTGGCTTTTACTAAATTGGCCAGTGCTGTATTATAATGCTACGTTGCTTTGCGTATTTCAAATGCAATTAGGGTTGGTGGTCATGCTTTAAGCTTATTTGATGCAATTAGGGTTGGTGGTCACGTTTTGGCTATGAACTAGAAGATCTCGGATTCGAGATTCGAGTTTTGCTGCTTATTAGTGTCATCATAGTTAGAGACGCCGTCCCAAACGAAGTTTTAATCTGTTAGTTGGGAGCTTTGACTATAAACTAAGAGATCTTGAATTGAAGTTTTATATATGTGATATGTGTGTGAGTTTTGACTTAATCAAATCTTAGAATGTCATATTTCTTTATTAGAAGTTATTATCGGAATTCCACTCGGATGTTTTTTTTTTTGGACGCTGGCAATGTTAATTGATGCATTTACGATTATATGCTATGCATAAATAGTAGTAAAATTTAGAGAGATTGAGATTTTAATTTATTCTGTCTCTCTTGCAAAGCTCTTTCTAGATTTAAAATCCATTATGCCATTGAATATAGTTGTAATCCTGCAACAAAGGATTTGAGCGCTTCAACTAATCAACGACTTTAGGGCATCTCCAAAGGAATTCCAAATGCTTGAATGTCGTCGCCTCCGAGCTCCAGCCGAACGGTGAAACTTCCGTTATTTCGATGCGGGTGAACAGTAGGACGCCAATATTGGTGTTGAACTGTTCATCATCGCTATTTTTCTCGGTCTACCGAACTTGACAAGAAGTGCGCGAAAGAAAAAAAAAAGATCGTTACCTTCTCAAAATGGAGTTCCATTGGAGATGAATCGAGACATTTTTAAATTTCACGGCATTTTGGAGTGAAAAATACAATTTTCCGTTGGAGATGATCTTAGTGGTCTAGTAGATCTTTAAAAAATCTTTGAGCTCTCTCTTCCTCTCCAATTTCACTCACCTTTCATTTTTAAAAATCTAACTATAATCTCAAAACACTCCATCTAACATCCCTCATCTATGATATTAAAATTGAACAATTTTGACTTCATTAATTTCATCTCATTAATGCTTGAGTTAATCATAAACATGCAAAAATTAAAGATCATTTAGTTCTTTAACTAAAATCTAAAAAATTTTAACTATTATTTAAATACTTAATTTAAGCTTGATCATTTTACATGCAGTTGCATTTCTCTCATCAAAATGTTGAAGATCCTAAATTTAATTGCAAGGATTTTCAATTACAATATACATAAAGATTGAGGCTTGGTCAAGCAAATTTTTTGATAATATAAATACTTCAAAAAATTATTTATAAACCAATCTGTAGACGTTCCTAAAAATATAGATAATACTTTATTTATATTTAAAATATGTTTTCATTAAAGACTTCAGAACATTTACAATTTTTTTGATAAAATAGCGATCCACGTGATATTTTTTTAGACTTATGTGAGTAATTCAATTTTAGGCTTATTGCAGTTACTATGTAGATTTTAGTACAAGTAAAAGAAAAAATATATTCAAAACAATTGATCAGAATACATCACAATTATTAAATCTATTTTAGGAAAAAAATATAATACATAAATAATCAAACAAAATTATATTGCATAAATTTCAAGAAATTCAATAAATTTAGAATTATTTCAATAAATAAATTAGTCATAATATCCGGATCCAAAAAATTTCCTGCAAAAAATTCAATAGAACTAAGGCAGGTAAAATAGAACCGAAAAAAAAGGCAGATGACATGCTAGATACCCATAAGATCATCTATCGAGTCATTTCCAGCAATTTAATTTTTGTGTACAGAGAGCATAAGAAGCTTTAGAGACTGATTCCTATAAAAAAACCTGGCAGTAACTTACATAGAGTGGCTCATATCAAATTACCTGACAGAAAGGTACATTGATTGAGCAAAAATACTTTGATAAAAGGCTCATAAAGACCACTCAACAGAAAATTAAAGTAGACAAATTGTTCACTTTATGATTGTTGATAGAAGGATATCAAGGAATTTTGATTGATTAAGATCCAGGGCCATATGAAGGTCTTTGGCTTCCTGAGATACTCATCTGACCAAATCCTGTTTCCAAATGTCCCTGCCAAGATTGACAATCACAAGTCAACAGTAACACAGCAAGTCAAATTCTCGTTTAAATCTAATAAAGAAAGATCATTTCTAATATTTTCTAACCAAGTTTTTTTAGGTCTACCTCTACCTTTCTTAACATAAGTCAAATCTAATACCTCTACTTTCCTAACCGGGTCATCAAAAGGCCGCCGTTTTAGGTGAGTAAACCATCTAAGGCGACTCTCTCTAATTTTATCTTCTACTGGCGCTACTCCAACCTTTTCACGTATATGCTCATTTCGTATCTTATCTCTAAGAGTAAAGCCACTCATCCACCTGAGCATCCTCATCTCTGCAACACTTAACTTCGTATTATGCTTCTGTTTTAATGGCCAACATTCGGCACCATAAAGCATTGCAGGTCTGACCACCATCTTATAGAATTTTCTCAACAGTAACACTAAAATGAAAAATTATAAATTATGATAACAATATACCATAGTATAAGCCATTCATATTTAAGTTAAAAGAGCAGAAGCAATACATACAGGAAAAATGTGATGATCCATGTTCGCTTCAGTTTGCGAGAATTGTTGCTGACTTCTCCTCTGGTCATTCAGTGATTTCTCTCTTTGTTCATAGAAGTCATAATCATCCAGCAACGATCTTGCCAATGGGTAACCCTTGAAAAATTGCAGCATTTTCAGACCTTGTGGAAGCCCAATCTAAAGGATAGAACAGCATCAACTTCAATCAGTCGAAGAAGATGAAAGAAAATATATAATCACAGTAAAATTCATGAAAATTATCTAGAGCACAAGAAGAGTTTCGTTCAGGAAAATTTAAATTTGACTGCCAAAACATTTCCACTAAAAACAATAATAAAGGATGTTCTTTACATAAACATAGATAAAAAGCAGAAAATAGCAGGTTATAAACAAGTGCACAGTAGAGCATTGGTGCTAAAGAAGTAAGCAATACCTCTTGTGTATCTCTGCTGAAAGTTACAGACTTATTATCATTGTTTTCAAGCCTGATATTTTGAAAATACTTGTTGGGAATATCCTTTATCATGTGCCACTTCACCGGAAAAAAACCATTCCATTTGCCCTTTTGCCAAAACTCCATGGTCTTATTGAAGTCAACAGGTCCAATCATCTCCGCCAAGCCTACGAATTGCCCACTTGCATTTACCTGAATTTCAGAAAATTACCTTAATTAAAAAAAAGTAATAATAAAAAAGAAGGCCATATATGCAATTCATGATACTATTATTACAATTAAAGCCTAGAAATTCAGAATAGAAGACAATTTTTATTAAATCCTTAAACTACTCCTTCAGATTTCTGATAACACAACTCCATTCAAAGGAATAGCAAGAGGCTGGTAGGATATAGGTTATAATAGTGGTGAGGTTAAGTAACCTGACACAACAACCTGATCCAACCTCTAACTTCCAGCACTCAAGTAAAATTATTGCAAAAATAAGTTCATATAACTGATATGGATATCAATTTGGACTGAAAAAACTTTTCAAATATCAATAGATATATAGGAAAACCATTATCAAAACTCACCGAAAAGAATAAGAAGACAGGGCACTTCTGGCCATTCTCATTCACTGTTGCTTGGGCATCCTTGAAAGCAGCTTCCAGCTTCTTGTTCCCATAACGAGTACTCGCCCATACATTATACTTGATGCTTTTATGAATATCATCCTCACAGAATGACTTTATCATAAAGAACTTTGCCTGTTCATACTTAATCTGGAAATTTGATTTGTTAAATTTATCTCTGCTGACTAATGGGCCTAGTTCATTTTTCTCTGCAGAAGAAGGAAAGTGTATTCTGTTGGCACGAGGACCACGAACCAATTCAGTGGAAGGTTCAAAGTTGCCGTGAAAATTCCTGTCTTGTGATTGATAAGAAGGTGAGGGTATCCTTCCTGAGGTGTGGTAATCCTTGGTATCTCTGAATGGATATTGACCAGAACTATGCCGTGGAGCCTGAAACTGATTTTAAAATCAGATAAATTGTTAACTTCAAAACAAAAAATGCCTCTTGTTTGCGGCTGTAAAAATATGATATGGGTGTAAACACACCATTCATAAGCCAAAATCATAACTTTTATCAGAACACCCCTACGGAAAAAAAATATCATTAAAATAAACACGATGGATTGTACAGATTAAATTAGAAAAGTAATCAAAATTTGAATAAAGTAAGCACTTAATTAGAAGGAATGCATGTTAAATCATGCAAAGAGTTTTAATTAATCAGAATGGTGAAAATCTAGAAATAATACAGATTCCATAAACATATAGAATTATAGATGAAAATCATTGAACTAATCAAACTAGGAACATTATTTTCTATAAAAAACATAAAATTGGCAGTCATACTTTTTATCGCATTATAGTTAGTCAACCAAAAGCAAAAAGATTGATGCAATAAATGAAATTTCCACACCAGGGCGGATATTCATTTTCTCATAAATTAAATGAATAATGTTGCTTCGATGTTAACAAACAAGAAACATAAAGAATTTAACGAGATTTGCATTTTTTTATACCTTATTAACATAATCTAAAGGTGGACAAGGGAAGTTCGAAGATGAACTGCATTGGATGGATTTTGATATGAATTGCTCAGTACCAGCCATGCCATTCTTTGCAACATTTATCTTCATAGAATTTTGTAAATTTGACTTCTCCTTTGGGTTTGATGATGTGGAAGGTTTCAAGGAAGAAGCATTTGCATTTGAATCATTTAGACAATCCAGTTCAGTTCTTGGAAATTCGGTATCTGATTCTAAATTCTTTGAGCAAGGCATTGCTTCAGAAACAGAGGAAATTTTTTTCACAACATATATTTGTGACGACTCCTGACCAACAGATTGTCCGTTAGAAGCCATTATTTGTTCAGAATCACTTAATGTTGCTGGCTAAGCATAAGAAAAGAGAAAGAGCCTCCTCCTAGACCATCTGGTAAGACCAACAAAAGATTAAAATCGAAAGTATACAAATCCATGAAGACATGAAAAGCAGGCTGGAAAGAGAAAAAGAGCAAGTCCAATGCTTTTCACACAACATTTAAAACATTTCCAACACATTTTCTAATTTGGCATATTACATATAATAGGAGCAGGCACATCAGGATATGGTGGATTTACATAACATCTTTTTATGATATATAGCATAGAGATGCCATTGAAAATTTGTTATCATAACAAGAGCATTCTCAAGGCACATAATGATTTTACTGAATTTAAAAGATAAGCATCTGTAAGTTCTCCTGAAAAATAAACTACATTACTTATTAGTTCCTTCTGATTGATACAATGCCTGAAGAATGTCAAGAATAACCATTTCCAGAAACAGAAAAAACTAAAAACACAACAAGAATAAATTTTAGAATCCATGAAAGTTTCAAGAAGTTGTTCGCCAGAACACAACAAACTAAAACCAAAACTACATTCTTAGTTAAAGAATTGAATGCATTAACAAACTTTGGCAGCTTAACCACATAATACAGCTCTCCACCACTAGAAAAATTATAAAGTATTGTGAATTGTAGCCAATTGTAAAACCAACCAGCTTAATTTATAAAACCTTACACATTGCTGCAATCCCTAAAGAAAATTCTTACATACAAACTGCAATTCTGGTTTCATAAACACATTGTCAAATATAATCAGTGAAACAAATTATAGATATAGGAGCTATTTGATTACCTGAAATTTACTGTATAATTTTATAAGAATTATTTGAGTCGACAATTCTTTAAATAATAAATTTATTTGGGTCGACATTCAAATCCCCTTTTAATAAGAGCTAGGTTTCTTTCCACATCTAGATGTAAGGACATGTGGACAAAAATAAATGATAGTTAATAGAAAGATCGTAATCACCCTTAATCATCCCATACCATAATCTTTTTTAATTAAATAAGATTAAACCAAACATACAGTATCCGAAAGATAAAATTATTATTTCTATCTATATAAAAATGAATAAAATAGCCCCTAAGTCGCACCGCGTTCAATCAAAAGTTGATGACCTGACAGCGAAAAAAAGTTCTTCCCTAAGCCTTTAAATGCAATCGTTTATCAAGAATAAGAACAACGTTAGCAATGCAGCACTCGTTTATCATCAAAATTAACTTACGCGCCGGCGTTCTGTTGACTAGAAAAATACCGAGGCGAAAGGAAAGGGAAAGTGTTATCTGACGCAAATGACAGCAGTTACTACTCCACCGCCGTCTGAACTATGAAGGCCGGAGCAGGAGAAGTTCGCCGGCGGCGATATTATCCGGTGAGCTTTGGATTGAAGTCCTGGGGAAGGATGGGAAGAAAGAGGGCGTGGAAAACCTAATGGCCGCAGAGCCTCATGCGCATTCGCGGACAGGCTTCACTTCGGGAGTCGGGATTTCGAATTAAACAGAAAGTTTTCTACCATGATGTAAAGCAAAAGTTATACCAATTTGTAGCCTTCCGATCTTTTCAAGATTTGTGTTCATATAATCGAACATATACCATAAACTTTAACGAAGTGATCCTCGTATTCTAAATTTCTAATATGAAATAAACTACTTTCAGACATATTAAAAAAAAAAAAAACAAATTATGGGGATATTTTTTCTATTAAAAATATTATAAGTTATTTAAAGTCAATTTTCTCTTATATTTTGATTCTCTTATAAAATAAAAAATTTTGTATTAAAAAATTATTTTAGAAAATACTAAAAAAATGTCTCAAACTAAGCATTAAGAGGAGAAGGTGGTTGCATAGCAAATGTTATGTCATGACACATTTATTAAGGTTTCGTTTGAGATATTTTTTTATTATTTTATAAAGTTATTTTTAGTACAAAAATTTTATAAACTAAAATTTTTTGTATAAAAAACTATTTTTTAAAATAGTAAAAAAGTTGTATCAAACAAAACCTAAATAGATAAATTAAATCCTTATGCCCTCTTATGACCATAACTTTTTCTCAATATTATAAGTTAGTAAAATTAATGGTACGCAGTACACTTTGAGACTAGTATTGTTACATATATTTATGATTCTTACAAAATTAGTAATAACATCAAAAAATTCATTAAGATAGAAGAGTATACTAATTATTTAAAAGTAATTACATTTTTTTGCTTCTTCAATGAATATCATGGCTTGCTGAATGATTTGAAAAAGATAAAATAATTATATAATGACTTATAAAACTCAGTGTTCTATATATATCCATCACACAAACAGAAGAAAAGTGAAATACGTGGAAAACTCTGGAAAAGGCAAAAACTACGGGGCCACGCCCAATTGAAATGATTCAATCATTATTTGATTAGCTTACAAGTGGCTGACTCATCCATGAAATTGAGGATGATCAAATTACAATAATCAACAGTCATGTTGAAATTTAGTTAAGAGCGAGGATCAGAAATCACGCAATGTTTAGTGGTCGAGCGGAAATTCAGCTTCAATTGAAGGTCTGGCGTAAGTCCGGCATCAGTCGGCGGTCAGAAAAAAGTCTGGCGTTGGTCAGCTGTCGGGCAGAAGTCTGACATCGATTGGCTGTCGAGTTGAAATCTGGCGATGATCGAGGAGTTTGGTGACAATACGAATGAATTTGGCGATCTTAGGCTCGTTGGATTTGTCTCATCGAGCCGCTCGATTTGACTCTAAGCATGTCACATTTGGTAATCCAAATTATGGTTTAAACCTTCCAAATATGTTTCGATTCTTTGATTTGGGCCCATTTGGGATCGAATTGAGTCGAATTTGGTGTCGTTTGGTTCGTCTTTTTGAGATGTTCATTACGACTATAAGTTTGTTGAAAACGGAGTTCATATGGTCCCGAATTTAATTTTGGGAAGCTTCCAACTTGATTTATCTCGAGATTCGTGCCCGATCACGATAATTTTTAAATGATATATCATATATAATTATTGAAGAGGAGAGTTAATGCAAGAAAGATAAATTGTCATTTTATCCATATTCATTAATTTAGAAGGTTAATGGAATACAACAAATATCTTAGTAGGTAGATATACTCAAAAGACCGTAAAGGGATTAAAAGCGCTATAGGAGTCCGGATTAGTAGGAAATTGAGAAAAAGAAAGATTGAGAGAGATTGAGAGGGATTTAGATAAGGTACGAAGGAAAGAAAATGAGGAAGGAACAATTCAAATATTCATTCATTCAAATCTAATCTTATCCTAAACTCATGAACTGTTATGTGTGGAATCTGATTGTATTGATTAATATGATTATTTTGTTATCTTGAGCCTCAAAATTTGTCATATACACTGGGGTTTGGGTGCTTTACAGTTGAATTCTTTTCTTTTGTACAATGCCCCGGTGCTGCATACCTGGGGGTCCTGGCGCTGTGTTCCCGAGCGCCCCAACACTGAACGATAGAGAGCAGAGCATAACAGTGAGCAAAGATATGGTGCCGCAGTTGTTAGAGAACTAATTAATTATGATTACTGTATTAATTACCTTGCCTTATTTAGCATGAACCAATAGCTTGAGTACACGTTGCACCTATAGCTTCCAAGCCTATATATAGGCACCTGTACTATGTTTTCAAACTATCCAATATATTCATCTTGCTTTTACTTTAGAATCTTTCTGTTCTGTTCTTCTTCCCCATCTCCGGCGAAGCTCATCGGAGATATAGTTTCTACAGCAGTGGGTCAAGATAGAGACTAAGCGCTGCAGCATTGTCAAATAGAGACAAAACACCGCAACACTGCGAGATGGACTGGACAGTTATTTTTTCTGAAGTTTTTCGTCCTTCGGGGGTTATAACTTACTTTCTCTTATATTTTCTAAATGTTTAGACATTGAGAACAGTGCATCTGAGAAGAAAAGTAAGGAGAGAGTGAGAGAGAAGAGAGTGACAAAGAAGAGAGATTATAACAAGGTTATAACTTACTTTCTCTGGTATCTTTTTAGGTTTTATGATTATAACAAATAAATCCAAATAAGATAAAAATTTTACATAAACATTCAATTAATAGTTAATCCTAGCATAAACATCAAGGGAAATTTTAAAATTCAAAAAAATGGACCATAAATATAAATTAAATCCTAATGTGCACTTATTTCTAGATGAAATTAAACTAGATTGTTATAGGCGACCAGTAATGCATTAATGTGGGCAAATGCTGTGTGCTTGCGTGTATATATGCTTGTGATTTTGGAAGAGAAAGGTTCCAATTTCATGATGATATTAACTCTTATGCTAAAGGAGAAATAATTTCACGAAGCTCTATCGTTGAAAAAAATCTTTGTGAGGCACTGAGTTTTCATCATTATTAGTCCAATGTTAGATCGATGCTGGTACGTAGTTCTATAGCCAACAAGATTTTTATGACTTCATAAGAATATAGAGATATAAAAGATAGTTTTTTTGGAAAGATTTTCTCTTTATTAATATTCCAAACAATAAAAGGAGGATATAATCAAGCCCACGAAAGAACAAAGCCAAAGTTACAATACAAAATAAGCCGAGAAGAGACAACAAGCAGTGAAGAAGATAAAAGCCAGGCGGCCTCAGTCATTATCAAGAAGCTTTTTACAACCACCCAGATGCCAGACAAGGACCATCCAAAGGAGGAAGCAAGCAATAGACCACACAAAAGAAATGGGCAAAGCAAAATCTCACATCCAAATAACAACCACCAATTAGAACAAGAAGAAGCACCCCAGTGGTTGTCGCCAACAACCCTGTGTTCCACGCCCGAACCAAACACATAGAGATCGATCAAAGGTTCATCAGAGATCATATCCAGCGCAATACCATTCGCGTGCTACCCATCAGCACAGTGGACCAGCTCGCGGATATCTTCACAAAATCTCTACCTACCCTGCGGTTTAAACACCTTCGTTCCAAACTGACGCTCAGGGAAGAAACATCAGTTTGCGGGGAGATGTTAGAGAACTAATTAATTATGATTACTGTATTAATTACCTTGCCTTATTTAGCATGAACCAATAGCTTGAGTACACGTTGCACCTATAGCTTCCAAGCCTATATATAGGCACCTGTACTATGTTTTCAAACTATCCAATATATTCATCTTGCTTTTACTTTAGAATCTTTCTGTTCTGTTCTTCTTCCCCATCTCCGGCGAAGCTCATCGGAGATATAGTTTCTACAGCAGTGGGTCAAGATAGAGACTAAGCGCTGCAGCATTGTCAAATAGAGACAAAACACCGCAACACTACGAGATGGACTGGACAGTTATTTTTTCTGAAGTTTTTCGTCCTTCGGGGGTTATAACTTACTTTCTCTTATATTTTCTAAATGTTTAGACATTGAGAACAGTGCACCTGAGAAGAAAAGTAAGGAGAGAGTGAGAGAGAAAAGAGTGACAAAGAAGAGAGATTATAACAAGGTTATAACTTACTTTCTCTGGTATTTTTTTAGGTTTTATGATTATAACAAATAAATCCAAATAAGATAAAAATTTTACATAAACATTCAATTAATAGTTAATCCTAGCATAAACATCAAGGGAAATTTTAAAATAAAAAAAAATGGACCATAAATATAAATTAAATCCTAATGTGCAGTTATTTCTAGATGAAATTAAACTAGATTGTTATAGGCGACCAGTAATGCATTACTGTGGGCAAAAGCTGTGTGATTGCGTGTATATATATATAAGCTTGGGATTTTGGAAGAGAAAGGTTCCAATTCCATGATGATATAACTCTTATGCTAAAGGATAAATAATTTCACGAAGCTCTATCGTTGAAAAAAAATCATTATTAGTCTAATGTTAGATCGATGCTGGTACGTAGTTCTATAGCCAAAAAGATTTTTATGTCTTCATAAGAATATAGAGATATAAAAGATAGTTTTTTTTGGAAATATTTTCTCTTTATTAATATTTCAAACAATAAAATGAGGATATAATCAAGCCCACGAAAGAACAAAGCCAAAGTTACAATATAAAATAAGCCGAGAAGAGACAACAAGCAGTGAAGAAGACAAAACCCAGCCGGCCTCAATCATTGGCAAGAAGCTTTCTACAACCGCTCAGATGCTAGGCAATGACCATTCAAAGGAGGAAGCAAGAAATAGACCACACAGATGAAATGGGCAAAGCAACATCTCACATCCAAACAACAGCCACCAATCAGAACAAGCAGAAGCAACCCAATGGTTGCTAACAAGCCACAACCATCCAGGTGATGAGCAAAAAGTCACCACATCATTGCCCGGGCTAGAGTCTGTGAAGGGCAGCCCCCAGCAACCCAATCAAAACAACCCCGAAAAAAGCCCATCCACAAAGAGCATCACCCACAACAATCCAAAAAAAATGTGCAATTAATCAAGTAGTATGCCATATATTTGGTTTTGATCTTCAATCTTGAGCCTTATTGTTGTGGCACATGATCCTTTGGTGAACCTCAAGCATCT